GCTGCTATGGCCAGTGGGGGAGGCCTTTAATTCTAGGTCCTACGTTCTGAGGGTGCCTCTTTCTAATTCAAAGGTATAATACAAATAGACTATGTGACCTGCATGAAAACATTCCTGTTTGTAATGGCACATCTCACAGAAAGTTACTATTATTCAAACTACCTATAATGACAATGGATGTCAAAATGGGATTCTAACATTTTGTAAGACCCCGAATTTATCAAATAAAGAGTCAAATATATGCAACGAACTCTTCCTGAGGCAGGAAGGAGAAGGGGCAATTTTTAGAAAGTTATTCAACAGAAGGGTTTTCTAGTTGATTGACTATCAAACAAGGTAGAGAAAAGCCTATAACCGCATTCATTAAAATATGACTATTAACACCTCACTAAATATCCTTCTACATCCTTACCCATGTTTTTATACACATGCTTTTAATACGTGTTTTAAGTAACAAAAATGAGATTCCACTAAATCAACTATTTTAACCTGTCCCACTCACTCCCCTCTTTATTATACTTTGTGTCAAGTCGATTTATTTATGATTTACATAAAATCCAGACTTTTCTGATTAAGTGAATGAATTTGCTCTTACACCAAAGCAAATGCTCTCAAGAAGCTCATTCTTGAAGATGGTTGAGAAATATGAATGACTAATATGAAAAGAACATTAACCCATGAAATGTACATGAATATGGCCAGGCGCAGTGGCTCACGCTTGTAATCCCAGCACTTGGAGGCTGAGGTGGGTGGATCACCTGAGGTCAGGAGTTCAAGACCAGCCTGGTCAACATGGTGAAACCCCATCTCTACTAAAAACACAAAAATTAAAAAAAAAAAAATACAAAAATTAACTAGGCATGGTGGCATATGCATGCAGTCCCAGCTACTCGGGAGGCTGAGGTAGGAGAATAGCTTGAACTCGGGGGCAGGGGTAGAGGTTGCAGTGAGCCAAGACTGCACCACCGCATTCCAGCCTGGGCGTTCTGTTTCAAAGGACAACAAAAACAACAAAACTTTACATGAATATGCATATCAGCTGAAGGCAAGTGCATTACAAATGTATGTGCAATTTAGTAGAAGGGGTGAGGGAGTCTGGGTGTCAATGGGGAAGCCTTGGTGAGCTCCTAGAAGTAGGATGCAGGCTGTGAGATAGTCTCAGTCCTAGTGATACAGTCAGGATGATGTAACAGGGTTCAGTGAGGGAGTGCAAGATGACAGAACAATACAGAGCATCTTATACTAATTCCTGCAAACTTCTCCACTATGTGCAAGGAAACAAATACTTACGAAACAGAAGAAAATGGCCAGGCATGGTGGCTCATGCCTGTAATCCCAGTACTTTGGGAGGCCGAAGTGGGATCACCTGAGGTCAGGAGTTCAAGACCAACCTGGTAAACATGGTGAAACCCTATCTCTACTAAAAATACAAAAATTAGCCGGGTGTGGTGGTGGGCGCCTGTAATCCCAGCTACTCAGAAAGCTGGGGCAAAGAACCCCTTGAACCTAGAGCGGGACGGAGGTTGCAGTGAGCTGAGATTGAGCCATTGCACTCCAACCTGGGCACCAAGAGTGAGACTCCATCTCAAATTTTAAAAAAAGAAAAAAAAAAAGAAATAGAAGAAAACACAGCAGTGGATACAGTGCTTTTTGGTTCATTCAAAGCAGTCCCATCAGAGTAGCATATTAAACTATAAAAGCTGGGCGTGGTGGCTCACGCCTGTAATCCCAGCACTTTAGGAGGCCAAGGCGGGCGGATCACAAGCTCAGGAGATCGAGACCACGGTGAAACCCCGTCTCTACTAAAAATACAAAAAATTAGCCAGGCGCAGTTGCGGGCACCTGTAGTCCCAGCTACTCGGGAGGCTGAGCCAGGAGAATGGCGGGAACCCAGGAGACGGAGCCGAGATGGTGCCACTGCACTCCAGCCTGGGCGACAGAGCAAGACTCCGTCTCAAAAAAAATAATAATAAAATAAATAAATAAATAAACTATACAAAAGGGTCCAAATGGCAAAATCCAGACAGTAGAAAATCCCAGGGTCCTAATTATGTTGTCAAATAACTTACAAAAAAAAAAAAAAAAAAAAAGAAGAAGGAAGAACCTACAGATTAAAAGAGATTTAACAGATCTATCAAACAAATAAAAAAAGACCTTTTTTGGAACCTGATACAAACAAAGTTAAAATACATATGACATTCACAAGAAAACTGGAAAATCTGGACAGTAGATATTTGATATCAAGAAATTGCTAAGTTTTTAGATGTGGTAATAGTATTGAGTTACGCTTTTTAAAAATCCTTATCCGTTAAGAGATGCACATTGAATTATGGATGAAATAATATGATATACAGAATTTCTTTCAAAATAACATGGGAAGGATGGCCAGGTATGGTAGATCATGACTGTAATCCCAGAACTTTGGGAGGCTGACATGGGAGGATCGCTGGTGTCAAGGAGTTTGAGACCAGCCTGGACAACATAGGGAGACTGTCTACTTTAAAATACAGAAACACACACACACAATTAAAAAATAATACTAATATGAGGATGGAGAAGTGGATAATGAAAGCACAGACAAAAGAAGACTGGGCTTGAGTTAAATCACTGTGGAAGCTGTGTGATGAGGACAAGGGGTTTCAACAGATTATTCTGTTTTTGCATATAGTTGAAATCCTTCACAATAAAAATTTTAAAAAAGTGCCACACCACAAATCCTAATGTTGACACTAAATTCTAAGGCAAAAGTAAGATGAAATATTGAAAAGAAAGTTAGCCTGGGAATGTTATTGTCTAGCATATTAATTTTTTTAAGTCCATATGACTTTTTTTTTTTTTTTTTTGGGACAAAGAGTTTTGCTCTGTCGCTCAGGCTGGAGTGCAGTGGCGCAATCTCGGCTCACTGCAATTTCCGCCTCCTGGGTTCAAGGGATTCTCTCACCTCAGCCTCCCGAGTAGCTGGGATTATCAGCTTGCATTGCCGCGCCCAGCTAATTTTTGTATTTTTTGTAGAGATAGGGTTTTGCCATGTTTGCCAGGCTGTTCCTGACCTCAGGTGATCCAACACCTCGGTTTCCCAAAGTGCTGGGATTACAGGCGTGAGCCACCACGCCCGGCCCCATATGACATTTTTAAAACACACTAGATATATACATGATTAATTCCAAGAAGTGGAAGAAATTAAAGACGGACAGGAAAGGATAGATGGATAGATGGATGTTCACCACTATGCAGTTCGTGATACAAAAAAGTTGGAAGAAACCCAAGACAGAGTAAATACATTGTGGCACAATAAAATACTATTCCTGTTTAAAAAGAGATTGTGGGCCGGGGGCGGTGGCTCACGCCTGTAATCCCAGCACTTTGGGAGGCCGAGGCAGGCGGATCACAAGGTCAGGAGATCGAGACCATGGTGAAACCCCGTCTCTACTAAAAAATAGAAAAAAAAAAAAAAATTAGCCGGGCGCAGTGGCGGGCGCCTGTAGTCCCAGCTACTCGGGAGGCTGAGGTAGGAGAATGGCGTGAACCCGGGAGGCGGAGCTTGCAGTGAGCCGAGATTGCACCACTGCACTCCAGTCTGGGCGACAGAGCGAGACTCCGTCTCAAAAAAACAAAAACAAAAACAAAAAAAAACAAAAGAGATTGTGGGCCAGGCACGGTGGCTCACAACTGTAATCCCAGGACTTTGGGAGGTTGAGGCGGGCAGATTAGGAGTTTGAGATCAGCCTGACCAACATGGTGAAACCCCGACTCTACTAAAAATACAAAAAATAGCTGGGCGTGGTGGCATGCGCCTGCAATCCCAGCTACTCAGGAGGCTGAGGCAGGAGAATCACTTGAACCCAGGAGGCAGAGGTTGCCGTGAGTGGAGATTGCGCCACTGCACTACAGCCTAGAAGAATGAGACTCTATCTCAAAAAAAAAAATAATAATAATAAGTTGTGAAAAATTACCTAGTGATACAAAAAGTATAATAAAGATGGTGAGTGGGACAGGTTAAAGTAGATGATTTAGTGGAATCTCATTTTTGTTACTTAAAAAAAGTATGTATCATATATATAAAAGCATGGGTAAGGATGTAGAAAGATACTTAGTAAGGTGTTAATAGTCATCTTTTAATGAATGGGGTTATTGGCTTTTCTCTACCTTCTTTAAGTATACAGTTTAAGAATTTAATGATAAAAAGTCACGCATGTTGTTTCCCCCCGGAAGTGTTGGTTTTACTAAAAACACACCCTCTAAGAATCCCATACATGAAAGTTGGAACTTCAATCAAGAACATAGGCCGGGCGTGGTGGCTCAAGCCTGTAATCCCAGCACTTTGGGAGGCCGAGACGGGCGGATCACGAGGTCAGGAGATCGAGACCATCCTGGCTTACTCGGTGAAACCCCTTCTCTACTAAAAAATACAAAAAACTAGCCGGGCGAGGTGGCGGGCGCCTGTAGTCCCAGCTACTTGGGAGGCTGAGGCAGGAGAATGGCGTAAACCCGGGAGGCGGAGCTCGCAGTGAGCTGAGATCCGGTTACTGCACTCCAGCCTGGGCGACAGAGCGAGACACCGTCTCAAAAAAAAAAGAACATGTCAGAGACAAGCTGCTTGAGCAAGAAAATATCTGAAAAGCAAGCTCTCCTAGAAGAGAAGCAAGGCCTCCTTAACAGTTTATGAGCACACACCTGTTAGGAGCACATACTGCCAGTGCCTTTCACTCTAAGTCTCTCTGTAAGCTGTAAAAGCAAACAGTTTAATGGCAAACACATACTCTATCCAGATTAAGGTGCCACAGATTTATAAACGTGTAAAAACACTAGACTTTGTTTTGGGGTTAAGGTGAGAAAAGGGCTTGCTAAACAGTCTCTTTCCCAGAAGCAAGTTTTCTTACTCACTCACTCCCTGGGACAGAAGGTCAAACAGCATCTCTGGTTGGAATCATAATGTTTCGGCCTGAAGTGACCAGGCCACTCACTACTTTAGTTACCCAAGCAGTATCAAAGGAGCTCACCTCATAGTCTTTCCTTGGAAGAATCTCATCCTCCTCCTCCTGTGTTTCTCCAAGGATGGTCTAGAAAAACAGATCCGCAGAGGGAGCCCTTTTTAGTGGTTAAGAGTGGAAGGAGGTAGAAGTATTTACTGAAATCAGTGGCCAGCTTCTACATCACCTGGAGCCATTATCAAATAGGAATCAGCCCTTAAAAAAAACCTTTCAGAGGTGAGGGACCATGTGGGTGAGATCTACAGCTATTAGCTGAGCTCTTCATTTCCACTCATAGAGTCTCCAAATAACCACCCTCCTCCTCAGGACACCTCAAAGATGTCCAATGCCAGCTGAAGAGGGGAGTAAAAATTCAGGTTCCATTTGACAATGTGACGTATCTGAAATCAGAAAGGACTTGTCAACTCTGGGAACACAACTCGGCTTTTCCCAGGACGCTTTGCAAGGAGAAGCTGGACTGTCAGTGACCCAGAAAGGGTGAGGGATAGAGTAAGAAAGAACTGGAGAAGCTAAAACAGCCGCATGATAAGCACAAAGTCCTGTGAGGAAGCTCATTCTGAAAACGCTTGTTTCATTCCAAACTCTTTTCAGATGGAAATAAAAGGAAACATGGGTGGGATTTACTGGAGCTGGCCTGGATTCTCCCTCAGATTCCAGGAGAGGTTATGAGGAAAGACCCCAGACTTAAGCACGTGAAGCAGGGTAGTCGCTTCGAGAGCCCGGACTGCGGTCCCCAGACCCCACCCGCTGCCACCTGCGGGCCCAGATTGGCCCGGCCCCACCCCCGGCAACGCCTCTCGCAGTCCCTTAGCAACCGCCCCCTCCCCAGCCCGGCTCCGCCTGCTCCTTACCAGCTCCTCGGGGGTGCGGGTCTCACGCTCACCGCAGCAGCAGCACCACCTGCAACAGCAGCACAGAGACCCCCTGCATCCCGCCATCTTCCTCCTTTACTGCTACTCTGGACCCCTCTACCACCCCCTCCCACCCAGGATCTGCGCCTCACGTGACTGGTCCCGGGACGGTCACGTGGCCCTCTCGAGCTCTGGGACTGAGAACGGGAGTGGCTGCAGACGGGTGGGGCGACGGCTCGCGTCACATGACGGTAAAGACACGGCCTCCAAAGAGACCCGTGGGCGCGGCCATGTTGGAGGCGGGGCTTCCGGTCACCCGCACGGGTGGTTTCCGCCCTGTCGGGCCCGCCTCTCCAGCAACCTGACACTTGCGCCGCGCCCGTCATTGCGTTCCCCGCCCCTACAGAGGCCACACTGGTGCGGCCGGCGGGCGAGCGTTCTGAGTCACCCGGGACTGAAGGGTGAGTGTCGGCGAGGCCGGGGTCGCCGGGAGGGAGATCCCGGAGCCGGCGAACAACATCCCGAGGGCAAGGACGTGCTCGTGGGCGGGGAGCGCTGGAGGCCGGCCTGCCTCTCTTCTTGAGGGGGGCTGCCGCCCCCCTCCGCGCACCCTTCGCGGGATTAGTGTAACTCCCAATGGCTACCACCTCCAGCGACCGTCAACCCTCAGGCGAAGACTCACTTTCGCCCCCTGCCTGGACGGAGGGGCCCCGGGAATGAGGGGCCCCTGAGCCAGAGGTGACGATCCCGCCCCCCTGACCGGCCCAGGCCCGTGTCCTCGCCCCCCATCGGTGACCCAGTGACCTGGTGACTCGATTCTCGGCCATCTGGGCGCCGAGACGGCTTCCGGCTCCTGCCTTTTAAACCTGCCTCCCCGGCGAGCACCTGGAGAAGAGCGCTGGGCCCGGGGCACTGCGGTCCCTGGCGCCCGCTGCGTCAGGCTGCGCACGGGGGTCCACCGGGACCTTTCTGGGAGTCGTGGGCTTAGTATCCCAGTGCTTGGCGCAGACTAGGTGCTCAGTAAATGACAGAGGCTTATTTTAAGAGAGTGGCAGCGCCTGGCCCTTTGGCGCTCAGTGAATGCTGGCTATCACGGTGTGCCAAACTCTGGGGATCCTCCAGGCAGGACACCGGTCCTGGTCTCAGGGAACCGGGAAAAGAGAAAGGAGACAGGCCTTCAACCCAGTTACAACCCAGGGTGCTATAGGAATCCAGCTGCTAACGGATAAATCGTGGGTGTTGGCTTACAAATATGGCACGTGCCTGGCATGTACTAGGAATGCAGTAAGTCTTTGAAAATCAGAGGGTTTGCAGGTGGTTCAGCCTCCTCCCACTCTAGGTTCTGTTCCAGCAGGCAATTAACAAGGTGCTCGCTTAAATGCTGGAGAAAGGCCAACTGGCTGCTCTTGCTGTTACCCCTCTCCACACCCCACCCCCACCCCCCATTCCTCACTCCCCACCGCCATCCCCACTGAGAATCTGGAGTTTGAGGTCTGAATGAAAGAGAGTAGCCCTAGGGGTAGAAAGCTTTGGCCCAAGGTTCTTAGTCTGGAATCAACTCCTTGTCTTCGGATGCATCCGCGCGTAGTCCGTGCTCCTGTGCGTGTATTTCAGGGGTGAGAAGCAGTGCATTTAATCAGATTGTCAAAAGAGCCTAAGACCCCAAATGGTTAGGTACACGGGGTTAGTGGTGGACAGTCTGAAAGAAATGAACCTGACCTGGTCTTTCCTCTGTTGTGCCATGTTACCACACACTGATTCACTACTGATTCACACTGATTCAGTGTGTTTGCCCATTGCTGTGCAAGTGTTTTGTTTTTTTAAGTGTTTGTCTTATTTTCTTCACCAGACTGCCAGATGGCACTATGCCCTCTGTTGGCCTGACTGTGCCCTGGTGGCTCTGATAACTTGTTTCTGTTTTGTTTTTGTTTTTTTTTGAGACGGAGTTTCGCTCTTGTGCCCCAGGCTGGAGTGCAGTGGTGCAATCTCGGTTCACCGCAATCTCTGCCTTCCAGGTTCAAGCGATTCTCCTGCCTCATCCTCCCGAGTAGCTGGGATTACAGGCGCCCACCACCAAGCCAGGCTAATTTTTATATTTTTAGTAGAGTCGGGGTTTCACCATGTTGGTCAGGCTGGTCTCAAACTCCTGGCCTTAGGTGATCCACCCGCCTTGGCCTCCCAAAGTGCTGGGATTACAGGTGTGTTTTTTGTTTTTTTAAGAGATGGAGTCTCACTATGTTGCCCAGTCTGGCCTTGAACTCCTGGACTCAGGTGATCCTTCTGCCTCAGCCTTCCCAGTAGCTGGGTCACTGTGATGATTTTAATTGAATTCTGTGGTGTGTAAGAAGACCAGCCTGCAAGGCAAGCACAGATGGGGCAGCTTTTGTTCTGAGAAATTCGTGCCCTTATTGAACTTGGGTCTGGCTATTTTTGGAATATGACCAGCGTCCAGTTCTAACCCACGACACGGTCTTTTTGGAGTAGCATGAACTCAGGACAAAGCTGGCTGCATAGTCAAACCCTCACCCCTTCCATCCTGCACACACACTGTTTCAAGTAACAGATGTTCCAGGCAGAGCCAGCCAGAGTGAGCTGTTCCTCATCGCCACCAACCCCTGCAATCTCTGCCCGAGTCCCCCTCCTTCCATCCGCCTCCCCTTACTAGAGTCTCAGCCCTTCCTCCTCGCCTGGAAGTCTTGCCCCCGCCCCCTTGTGCTGGCTCGAGCTCAGGCCTCTTCCTTTGTCGCAGCTCCGCCCAGTTGAACACACCCACCCGCTGGGGAAGGTGCCTCTGTTCCCTCCCCACGCACTCTGGGCCTAGCTAACAGAGATGGACCATCGAAAAGCCAGGGTCCTCCCAGCTGGGCACTACTGCCCCTCACTAGGAATATGGGCCTCACAGGCTGGCAGCGTGAGATTCTCTGTGCCACCTTCCATCAGGTAGCTGTCACCAAGGAGCACGTTGTAGTGCCGGGTGGGGGCTGCCTTGCATGCAAGGAACCTGGCAGCAGCGGAGGGCTAGGCTTTGAGTGAGGCGGCCCCGACAGCCATAGCTGAGTAGCATGGAGCCACTGGGAGGGGGCAGTGTCATCTTTTTTGGCCTTCTTCCTGTGTGGAAATACAGCACCTCCGGCTTGAACCTGCCACTCAGGTGTCGCGATGTGCCGGGGGTGTGGCTGCCTGCCCCCTGATGCTCCCTGCCCCACCCCGTGCAGCAGGAACCTGGCCATGGTGAACGAAGCCAGAGGAAATGGCAGCCTCAGCCCCTGTTTGGAGGGCAGTGCCAGCAGTAGCAGCGAGAGCTCCAAAGACAGTTCGAGATGTTCCACCCCGGGCCTGGACCCCGAGCGGCATGAGAGACTCCGGGACAAGATGAGGCGGCGAATGGAATCTGGTGACAAGTGGTTCTCCTTGGAATTCTTCCCTCCTCGAACTGCTGAGGGAGCTGTCAATCTCATCTCAAGGTAAATTGATGCAAGGTTAATGTGGGGACGGGGAGTGCTGGTTCCTGGGGAGCCAACTGTCAGCCCTGAGGCTGGGCTGCCCTTTAACCCGGCAGAAAAAAGCAGCCAGAGCAGGCAGGAAGGAGAAGGCAGAGTGGGTCATCTGATCTGCAGCTTCTCTTGCCTGTAAAAGTCCCTCCACAGTGTCAAGGGTATTTTAGACACACTCTTCAATGGGTTAAAAATGTTGATTCTCACAGTATATTCTTTGGTGGAACTTGGGGGCTGGATCACGAGTGCAGTTTAGGAAGTCACAAAGCAGTGAGAATATTTTCAGCAAGTTAGAAATTTGGATTATGCTTCCTGAAATCTAGAAATGCCAACTGAATTACATTAGCACTTCATGAATTGCAGTTTGTTTGTTTTTTTAAGTTTATGGCTTTTACTGTTTGCAGTTCTCACATGTCATTCCCAAGTTTTTGAAGTTTAAACGCACAAGGATGTTTAAATACACTGCTGATAGCTTGTAACACAAGTACTCGTGCACATCCAGGCTTTTGAGTCTCGTTTCGGAACTTGGCCTTGGTCTGCACAACTGTAAGCTGCTGCACAGGGCTTGGGGGGTGGCATGAAAGAAACGTGAGTCTGCCGACCCTCTTTCTAACTGTTCCTATGGCGAGGCTGTGCTTGCCACAGTTAGGATTCCCCTGACTCTCAACCACGATGTCTTACCTCACCTGAGATAATAAATGGGCAAACGCTGTGAAAAGTCTGAAGTGCTGCTCTCACAAAATGGTGGCGCCGTTATTGTGTCTTAGCTCTGTAATAGTGATCACAACGGCACCTCATATATACTGAGTATTCGGTTTATACACCAGGCACTGTTCTAAGTGCTGTGGAACCAGCTGCTGTCATATTCTCCTAGTGTTGTTACGGTTTTTTGTTGTTGTTGTTGCTTTATTTATTTTTTTTTTTTTTGAGAGAGTCTCACTCTGTAGCCCAGGCCCGAGTGCAGTGGTGTGATCTCAGCTCACTGCAAGCTCCACCTCCTGGCTCAAGCGATTCTCCTACCTCTGCCTCCCAAGTAGCTGGGATTACAGGCACCCACCACCACACCCAGCTAATTTTTATATTTTTAGTAGAGATGGGGTTTCACCATGTTGGCCAGGCTGGTCTTGAACTCCTGACCTCAAATGATCCGCCCGCCTCAGCCTCCCAAAGTGCTGGGATTACAGGTGTGAGCCACTGTGCTCAGCCTCCTAGTGTTATTATGAAGTGGGTACTATTATCTGCCGCGTCTTATAAATAAGGAAACAGAACTCACAGAGGTTAAGTAATGTACCCAAGATCATACAGCTGTAAGTAGCAAAGCCAGGATATGAACACTGATTGGTCTGTCTCCAACCTTTATTTATGCTTCTCTAACTCCCGGGCCCCGTGGGAAGGCAGTGAGGGATGGTATTTCCCCTGGAACCTCTCTTCAGAAACAAACCCCCTACAGGTTTGACCGGATGGCGGCAGGCGGCCCCCTCTTCATAGATGTGACCTGGCACCCAGCAGGTGACCCTGGCTCAGACAAGGAGACCTCCTCCATGATGATCGCCAGCACCGCCGTGAACTATTGTGGCCTGGAGACCATCCTGCACATGACCTGCTGCTGTCAGCGCCTGGAGGAGATCACAGGCCATCTGCACAAAGCCAAGCAGCTGGGCCTGAAGAACATCATGGCGCTGCGGGGAGGTGTGGAGCCAGCACTCCCCTACACTCTGGGTTCTGGCTTTCCCAGAGGCCACTTGTAGCCTGAACTTGGTTCCTGAAACGGTCCTTTACTGCTCCCTGGGCCCCACGCTGAGGATCCGCAGGATCCCATCCCCGCCAGTAGTGTCAGTAGGCGTTGTGGGCAGTGAGTCACCCTGGGCACCACACACAGGCAGCCACCTCTTCCAACTCTTGACCTCGACGTAGGAGTTCCGTCGGGAATGCAGTCGCAGTCTGATAACCCTCTGCCCTGCCTATACCACTGCATGGATTGCTGGCTGCACCCAGCACTTGGCCCAATCACAGAGTATCCGGGAGTGAGAATAGCCAGTTAGGCCTCTGGTGCCTGCTGTCGTCAGGCCACCCAAGAGTGGGAAGAGGGAGCCTGAGGGGTGGGGTCCTGTGGCCTTCTGCTCCCCACCACAAGACCCCTTCACTTGAGTAGAAAATTCTCCCAGGAGGCAGGAGCCCTAAGGCTGTGGGATGGGAGAGGGTGGCAGGCATGCCCAGGTAGAAGTAGGGAAGGGCTCTCCAGTCCTCCAGGCACAGTGAGGAGTGGCAGTGGTCTCCTATTCTCCACCGCCAGCACAGGGTCAGCACGCAGTGAATACTGAACGGGTGGGCTGCTTTCTTCCCTCTCGCTGTCTTACCAAGGGCTAGAAAGAGAAGAACCAAACCTAAATAATACGAAGTTTCTGCCTTTCAGGGACTCGCAGTCCTAGGTGTCAGGGCTAGGTAGAGGGAACAGAAAGGCTCTCTGGAGGTTGGGTGAGACCCAGTGACCATGACCTCCACCAACCCTGCAGACCCCATAGGTGACCAGTGGGAAGAGGAGGAGGGAGGCTTCAACTACGCAGTGGACCTGGTGAAGCACATCCGAAATGAGTTTGGTGACTACTTTGACCTCTGTGTGGCAGGTGAGTGACTGGATCATCCTGGTGGCAGGGATGGAGCTAGGGAGGCTCAGATAGCCTGTTGGTGTTCGGTGCAGGACACAGTGATCAGATGCACCTATGGGTCCATGCTGTCTGAGGGACATGCAGAGGTGAACTGTACCATGTCCTTGCTCCTTTTGTATCACCTACTCCCCTCCTGGGCCTGCCACCATCAACCCTTAGCTTTTTGTTCCTCTACCTGGCTGTGCCCTTAGCCTGCTTCTAGGCCCTATTCTTTTCTTTAAAACAAAAGAGGGGGCCGGGCACGGTGGCTCACGCCTGTAATCCCAGCACTTTGGGAGGCCGAGGCAGGCAGATCACCTGAGGTCAGGAGTTCGAGACCAGCCTGGCCAACATGGCGAAACCCCATCTACTAAAAATACAAAAATTAGCTGGGTATGGTGGTGCACACCTGTAGTCCCAGCTACTCAGGAGGCTGAGCCAGGAGAATCCCTTGGACCCAGAAGGCAGAGGTTGCAATAAGCCGAGATTGTGCCACTACACTCCAGCCTCAATGACAGAGCGAGACTACATCTCAAAGAAAACAAAACAAAACACCCCACAAAAGAGGGAAATTTACTAACAGGATTCCAGAGGGCAGGGAACCTAAGGTCAGGCGATGGCCTCAGATCTCACGAGGCACTGGAAGAGGTCAAAATGCAAGGACCTCCCTCATTCCCTCTGGTGCCACAGGGTCCCCCGTCTCCACTTCCCACTGCACATCTGTGCTTCGTCTGGGAGGCCCATGCTTTTCCACACACCTGGCCTGCTCCTGAGTGTGCAGAGTGTCAGCTCTAGCCAGTTCCCCAGGCTAATGGATGGGCCTCCGTTCCAAATTCCCAGGAGAGAGAATCACCATTGGCCACCGCCACAAGACCAGGTTTACCCAACAGAAATGGGTGGGTTGGACTTCCCTCCCACCCTTGAAGCTAAAGGCTGGGATTGAGCCCTCAGCATCTCAGACAGGGCTCAGGTATGGCGAGGCAGTGTGCGCCAGGGACAGGAATTCCCAGGATTGGCACATTTTCTGGGATGACAGTTTTTTGCCAATATTTTGGGAGAAATCCTACCATTTTTATATTAAACATGGCTACGTTATGGAGTGGCATCTAAAGTGATACGAAAAAAAAAAAAATGGCCGGGTGCAGTGACTCAAGCCTATGATCCTAGCACTCTGGGAAGCCAAAGTGGGCAGATCATGAGGTCAGGAGTTCGAGACCATCCTGTCCAACATAGTGAAACCCCGTCTCTACTAAAAATACAAAAATTAGCCAGGCATGGTGGCGCGTGCTTGTAATCCCAGCTACTCGGTAGGCTGAGGCAGGAGAATCGCTTGAACCTGGGAGGTGGAGCTTGCAGTGAGCCGAGATCACGCCAATGCACTGTAGCCTGGGCAACAGAGCAAGACTCCGTCTCAAAACAAACAAACAAACAAAAACCATGTGGCTTCAAGAATTACTTGTTGTGGGTGACTTTGGCCTTGTCACTAACCCCCCATGGATATGTCTATTCTGTCAACAGGGGTGTTTAGGTGTTAAGTCTGGGAAGCACTGATTAGGAGTCAGAGAACAGGCATTTCCAACTGTTAAATTGTCATGGCTTGTATCAGCCACAATATAGTCAGTTAATGGGGGAGTGTGCACCAGTGATGGGCGTTACGTGATCATGATTGGAAACTAGCGAAGCTGTGAGCTCACAGTTGCTGAATGGTTTCTTACTTTGCCAATCAAGTGGGCAATGAAGATCAGTGAATTAGAAAACACCAGCCTGTTGGGCATGGTAGCTCATGCCTGTAATCCCAGAGCTTTGGGAGACTGAGGCAGGAGATCAAGACCAGCCTGGGCAACATAGTGAGAGTCCGTCTCTACAAAAAATACACAAAAAAATTTAAAAAGAAAGCACTCAGCTGTTCATGATAGAAAAATAGAGTAAATAGCAAAATCGATATGTAATCAAATGCTAGATTTGTTCGGTAATACTTAGGTATTATAGCTATCGTTTCAGCTGTTAAAAGCCTTGTTGTTTCTGAAATTCCTACTGGGAAAACAGCTTTCTTATTGAAAGTGTGAAGCCCCAGTGCTTTATCCCCCACTCCCTTACCCCTTGAAACCATAGTTTTTATATTCATTTTTGATGACTCTGGGTTTCTTAAGAACGGAACTGCCTTATCAGAGCAGAGCAGCTTGACTTTCCACCTGTCTCAGGGTGCTGCCCTGGGCTTGGGCTGACGAAACCGGCACTCCGTGTCGTTACATGAAGGCCTGTGGTCGTCCTACTTGCCTGACCAAGCAAGGCTGCTAGTAAGTTTAGTCATTTAGGGAAGGGGTCAGAGAGTTCACAGAGCCAGTAAGGAGCCTACGGGACACCTGGTCTCACCTTCCCAAGCAATTCCGGAATCCTGTCTTGGGCATCCACTGCCCCTGGGTTTTCAGGCTCCGGGAGCTCATTGTTTTGTGGGTGGCCTGTTGTACTCTAGGCAGCTCTCTGAACCGGATGCCGGTTTTGCCATTAGAAACAACACAGAATATGACTAATAAAGAACTTGACTAGGGAGCTGGGTACAGTGGCTCATGCCTGTAATCTCAGCACTTTGGGAGGCCAAGGTGGGAGGATTACTTGAGCCCAGAAGTTCCAGACAAACCTGCGCAAGATAGCAAGACCCCATCTCTAAAAAATAAATAATTAATTAAAAAAAATTTTTTTTTAATTAGCCAGATGTGGTGGCATGCATCTGTAGTCCCAGCTACTCAGGAGACTGAAGTGGGAGGATCACTTGTGCCCAGGAGGTCGAGGCTGCAGTGAGCCATGACTGCACGACTGCACTCTAGCCTGGGTGACAGAGCGAGACCCTGTCTCTGAAACAAAACAAAACAAAAAAACTCACCTATGGTGGGTCCTTTTTCCCCAGGACAGACCCTTGGACATTTGAAAGGAGTTTCTGTATTCTCTTCACTCTTTTCTTTCTTTTTTTTTTTGAGACAGAGTTTTGCTCTCGTTGCCTAGGCTAGAGTGCAATGGTATGATCTCAGCTCACTGCAACCTCTGCCTCGCAGATTCAAGCAATTTTCCTGTCTCAGCCTCCTGAGTAGCTGAGATTATGGGCATGTACCACCACACGTGGCTAATTTTTGTGTTTTTAGTAGAGACAGGGTTTCACCGTGTTGGCCAGGCTGGTCTCGAACTCCTGACCTCAGGTCATCCTCCTGCCTTGGCCTCCCAAAGTGCTGGGATTACAGGCATGAGCCACCACACCCTGCCATCCGTTCTTTTCTTTGAACAAAACATCACTTTCTTCAGTTCTTTCTTGTGTAACTTGGTTTCTAGCTTTTCACTGTCTCGGACCCCTGAGTAATTTCAATGTTACATTAAAAACAATGTTTAATCCAGTGCCTAAAGAAAAGTCAAGCTTTTCTTTTTAACAATGTTTAATCTAGTGCCTAAAGAAAAGTCAACCCCAGATGCTCTGCTAACTGTAGCATTTTCTCTTATCCATGGCCACCAAGTGCAGGCCAGATTTGCTTGGCTGCTCAAGGCAGGACAGTGTGGGAGTTTGGAGCAATCCACCCCGATTCTTAGAAGGGGGCTCTGAGCCACCTCTCCAGGGTCGGAAGCATATCAGTCATGAGCCCAGCCATTTACTGTTTTAGTTCAGGCCATGCTGTGCTGTTGGAAGGTGCAAGATCGGAGCCTCCGAAGCAGAGGGCTCTCTGTGCTCAGTCCCTGTGGTCTCTTCATCCCTCACCTTGAACAGGTGGAGGCCAGCCTCTCCCGACTGTCATCCCTATTGGCAGGTTACCCCAAAGGCCACCCCGAAGCAGGGAGCTTTGAGGCTGACCTGAAGCACTTGAAGGAGAAGGTGTCCGCGGGAGCCGATTTCATCATCACGCAGCTTTTCTTTGAGGCTGACACATTCTTCCGCTTTGTGAAGGCATGCACCGACATGGGTATCACTTGCCCCATCGTCCCCGGGATCTTTCCCATCCAGGTGAGGGGCCCAGCAGGGCCCATAAGCTCCCTCCACCCCACTCCCACCGCATCGTCCTCGCATAGGCTGGGGGCTCTGGGTGGAGTGCTGAGTTCACTGAGTTCTTCCCAGATCCCCTCTCAGGTCCAGAACTTGCACAGCGTTGCTTGGCCACCCCATTTTGGTTACCTCTAATTTTCCCCCCAAAACCCAGCAACACTGTCTATTGAGGGGTTTGTTGCACTTTGGCCGACAGGCATCACTAAAAGGGATTCTCATTCTCTTTACAAATCCTGGTTAAGCCGGTGTTTCCCAGATGTGGCGGTCATCAGAACCACTTGATAAGCTTTTCCAAGAAATGGATCTCCAGACCCCACCCCTGGAAGTTCTGACTCAGTAAATCTGAGGGAGGCCCTGGGAGTTTGTGTTTTGTCTCTTGAGCTTGGCAGGCGGTTCTGATGATCAGTGCAGCATGCGGACAACTGGGTGAGATGACACCATGTTATCAATAGACGCATCTAGTGCTAAAAGGCTGGCTCAACCCAAGGCTAGAATGCTTAGGGCAGCTGCTCTACTCTGTAAAAAGTGGAAAGGCTGGGCATAGTGGCACGTGCCTGTAGTCCCAGCCACTTGAGAAGCTGAGGCAGGAGGATGGCTTGAACCCTGGCATTTGAGAACAGCGAGACCCATCTCTAAAAATAGAAGAAAAGGGCAGAAAACAGCAGGTCAAGCTCAGGTGTGCTCCTGGCATATGACCAGATTTTCCTGGCTCCCTCTGCCTGACACTGCGGTTGGTGCGGAGGACGGAAGGGGGTGGGAGACGGGCTGGCCGACGGCTGTCACAGCCCCTCGTATTTTGGACAGGGCTACCACTCCCTTCGGCAGCTGGTGAAGCTGTCCAAGCTAGAGGTGCCACAGGAGATCAAGGATGTGATTGAGCCAATCAAAGACAATGATGCTGCCATCCGCAACTATGGCATCGAGCTGGCTGTGAGCCTGTGCCACGAGCTTCTGGCCAGTGGCTTGGTGCCAGGCCTCCACTTCTACACCCTCAACCGCGAGATGGCTACCACAGAGGTGCTGAAGCGCCTGGGGATGTGGACTGAGGACCCCAGGTGAGGGCAGTGGCCCAGAGATCCCCAGAGGAGGGTCCACGAGCAGTCCTGGCTGCAGCGCTGGCTCCTCACGGTGGTACAGACATATGTCTGGCTAGCTGGGCACACCGAGGGCTCTGGTCTCAGAGGGCATCAGATGGAAGAACCCAGCCTCAGTGGTGCTCCCCTGCTTCTGGCTCCCTCTAGCCAGTCCCTCGTCTCAGTTCTCTGTCCCCATCCTCACCCAGGCGTCCTCTGCCCTGGGCTCTCAGCGCCCACCCCAAGCGCCGAGAAGAAGATGTACGTCCCATCTTCTGGGCCTCCAGACCAAAGAGTTACATCTACCGTACCCAGGAGTGGGACGAGTTCCCCAACGGCCGCTGGTGAGGGCTGCAGACCTTCCCTGCAAACACATCTTTGTTCTTGGGAGGAGGAGGGCAGAAGTTGTTTGCATGCTTGTGGTTGACCTGGGAGGAGTCAGGACAGGATTTACAGGAATGGCCTCCTGGGCCTGTGGTGGCACTGCCCTCTGTCAGGAGTGTGCCCTGACCTCTGGGCACCCCTCTGCCAGGGGCAATTCCTCTTCCCCTGCCTTTGGGGAGCTGAAGGACTACTACCTCTTCTACCTGAAGAGCAAGTCCCCCAGGGAGTTGCTGCTGAAGATGTGGGGGGAGGAGCTGACCAGTGAGGAAAGTGTCTTTGAAGTCTTTGTTCTCTACCTCTCGGGAGAGCCAAACCGGAATGGTCACAAAGTGAGTCACGCTGGGCTGGGGTCCCTGGTTCATCCCCTGCCCCTGGCCTGACCCCAGTTGCAGGCCAGGCTGTGGGGCTGTGACTTCCCCACCCTGTGCCCTCCTCTCCATGCTGTGGACGTGGCACCTTGGCAAAGGGAGAAGGGTGAGTTGGGAAACCTCCACCTGGAAGGGCTTAGGGAGGCAAAGACAGGCTGGGTCTTTGTTGGGGGCCGTGAGAGGGACTTGGGGTGCCAAACTTGATGGTCGCCCCAGGCAGCTCACCGTCTCTCCCAGGTGACTTGCTTGCCCTGGAACGATGAGCCCCTGGCAGCCGAGACCAGCCTGCTGAAGGAGGAGCTGCTGCGGGTGAACCGCCAGGGCATCCTCACCATCAACTCACAGCCCAACATCAACGGGAAGCCGTCCTCCGACCCCATCGTGGGCTGGGGCCCCAGCGGGGGCTATGTCTTCCAGAAGGTGTGGTAGGGAGGCATGGGGTGCCCCCCTCTCTTGACAGACACCCACGGGTTCCCCAGAGCTTAGGGCAGAGCAACCTGCCTCTCCTGGGCTCTTAATTTTGGGTGAGCATGGATCAGAGCGGATGGGAGCTCATGCTTTAAGTCAGATAGACCTGGCTGGGCACGGAGCCCGGCCAGCACTTTGGGAGGCTGAGGCAGGTGGATCACTTGAGCCCAGGAGTTCGAGACCAGCCTGGGCAACATGGTGAAACCCCTTCTCTACAAAAAATACAAAAATGACCCAGGCATGGTGGTGCACACCTGTAGTCCCAGGTACTTGGGGGGCTGAGGTGAGAGGATCGCTTGAGCCCGAGAGGTTGAGGCTCCAGTAAGCCATATTCGTGCCACTGAACTCCAACCTGGGCAACCAAGCGAGACTCCATCTCAAAAAAAAAAAAAGTAGAAATCAGACCTATGGAGGCAGGTCAGTTGACCTCTCTGAGCCTGGTTTTCTCGTCTGTAAAATGGGATGTAGCTTGTGTTCTGAGCATGAAACCTAACAAAGCATGTAACGTGCTTGGCACATGGGAAAAGCAGGAAGTATTCCCTGAAAGGCAGCTGCTGTTACTATCCTGAGTTGACATCTTTCTCCCAGGGCTGCTGGAGTTAACATTATGTTCTGAACCAGGCCCACGGGCCCTGGAGCAGAAAGACCTGAGTTTAAGGACCAGTTCTGTTTACTTTCAGAGTAGCCAACATGTTCAACTTCGCTGAACCCACTTTCCTCATGCGGGGATCACTGTGCCCAGCCTCCAGTATTATGAGCATTCTAGCAAATGAGTTTGAGTAAACCCAGCTTAATCCCTGATAGGCACTGGTCCTAGAGGAGATGTCATGTCATTGTCACCTTGCAGTGACTAGGGAGGATGGAATGTGTGGGGCCTCTCTCTCCTGGCTCAGCTTGTCAAACCAGTTGCCACTGTTCAGAAATGACTTCTTCATGGAGTCTTCCCTGACTGATTGGGAGAGGGGTGGCCAATAGCCCTGGAACCTGTCTAGACTGAGAAACTCACCTCCCCACTCCCCTCACCCTTTGCTTATGGATGTACCAACGCCACAGTTCATTATTCTGCCCACATGGCCGCCACTAGTTCTGATACCTTAGGTGTCGGTGAAGGGGCGTCTGGCAGGGCTGGGGTTGGTGACAGGCACCTGTCTCTCCCACAGGCCTACTTAGAGTTCTTCACTTCCCGTGAGACAGCGGAAGCGCTTCTGCAAGTGCTGAAGAAATACGAGCTCCGGGTTAATTACCACCTTGTCAATGTGAAGGTAGGCCAGGCCCCGGGGTTCCCAGAGTACCAGGCCCTTCGTTTGGCAAACACCCAGCACCTAACCTGCGCTAGGCATTGTGCAAGACAGAGAGATACAGGCAGAACTGGGCCCCTGCTCTTAAGGAGCTCCCAGCCTAGTGAGGGAGGCAGATCAATGTGTGACCACCAGCCGGTGTAAGTGGGAAAATCAAGTTCAGGAGAGGATGCTGTCGGATCCAGAGGAGGGATGTCTCACCTGGGAGGCCAGGGAAGGCTTCTCAGAGGGGTGGTGTGGGAATCACCAAGGACAAAGAGGAGTTGGCCAACAGGAGAGAAGGGTGTTCCTGGGACAGGACAGAGGACAGGCAGAGGCAGTGAGCCACGCCATCTGGGGAAACCGGGAACACAAGCAGGAGGCGGCGGGAGTGTTAAGCAGGGGCCAGGCCCGCAGAGGGCATGGTTGTCCTGCTGGAATTTGAGTTTTCCCTAAATGCAAGGGGAGCCTTTCTCCAGCAGTGGAGTAGCTTGGTTCCCGCTTTATTTGAGTCAAATAACGGTGGATCGTCGTACAGATGATAGGGACTGGGGAAGGCTAGAGCCGGTGAGGCCAGCAAAGAGACCCCTGGAGTGACCCAAGCCAAACACAGTCCTGGAGGTGGGCTAGACAAGAGGGAACGGATCAGAGAGTGAGCAGGGGGTGCTCAGGGAGGAGGGGGAAGTGGCCAGGACGCCTCTAGGTTTGGGCTTGTGTGGAGAGAGATGTCATTCATAGATGCAGGTGGAGGAGGCCAGGAGTGGAGGCACAGGGAGAGGGGAGTGGAGGTGCAGGGAGAGTGGAGGCCGGGAGTGGAGGCGCAGGCAGAGGGTATTAAGCCCGCATGGCCCCAGTGAGTCAAGGCTGTCCAGGCACTGGGACTCCAGTTGTCCTTGGCCCAGGTCTTACCCCCACACCACACCCCCAGGGTGAAAACATCACCAATGCCCCCGAACTGCAGCCGAATGCCGTCACTTGGGGTATCTTCCCTGGGCGAGAGATCATCCAGCCCACCGTAGTGGATCCCATCAGCTTCATGTTCTGGAAGGTAAAGGAGCCGGGAGTAAGCTTGTCCCGCCCACCTGGAAAACCCTGGAGAGGGATTGGGACCAAGTCCCAAGCGTGTGCTGAAGGCCACACCCTGGGCCCGCTGGACCCAGCCTTCAGGGCATACCCGGCTCTGACTCACTCACCCGTGTCACTGCTGACGCAGGGTGTTTGCTTCTGGGCAGGGGTGGGAAGTGATACTGGCAGTGGGCCTTGTTCTATTCCGGGAAATGTCCTGTTGAGCAGAGCCCTTGGAGAGCCCTGTTAATCTTGCGTCTGTGTGTGTGCGTGTGTGCGTGTGTGCGTTGCGGGGGGTGTGTGGTGTGTGTGTAGGACGAGGCCTTCGCCCTGTGGATTGAGCGGTGGGGCAAGCTGTATGAGGAGTCGTCTCCATCCCGCACGATCATCCAGTACATCCACGACAACTACTTCCTGGTCAACCTGGTGGACAATGACTTCCCACTGGACAACTGCCTGTGGCAGGTGGTGGAAGACACACTTGAGCTTCTCAACAGGCCCACCCAGAATGAGAGAGAGACGGAGGCTCCGTGACCCTGTGTCCTGACGCCCTGCGCTGGAGCCACTCCTGTCCCACCTTCTTCCTCCACAATGCTACTTCTCTGGGAATCCCACTCTCCTTCATGTCTCCCCGACCCCTGGCCTCCACTCCCCCACCTGACGATGGCAGCTAGACTGGAGTGAGGCTTCCAGGCTCTGGCTGGACTTCAGTTGGCCCCACATGGGAACCTAGTACTCCCTGCTCTAGCCAGGAGTCTGTGCTCTTTTGGTGGGGAGCACTTCCGTCTTGCAGAGAACCACAGCGGGTGGCACCTCCTGAGAAGGCGAGGAGAGTGGTTGTTGCCAGCTAAGCCCTCGAACCAAGGCAGCCTCCAGAGCCAGCCTGGGACTCCCAGTGAACTTACACTTGGAGCCTGTGCAGTACAGGCAAAACACACATGGGTGCCAGGCACTGGTGGCATCGTAGAAGAGATGTGGCAAAGTGCTGTACCCTTCCACCTCCTAGAGGTGGGCAGCTGGGCCCCACCTACTTGTGAGTGAAGGGACATACCACTGCCCTGCCTGCCCGCTTAGCCGTCCATGGCACCAGCCCCCTGGATGGGCATTGGGCTGATACCTACCATGCTGCTTTCTGGCACAGTTGTCTATTCTGAGCTTTGAGAGAAAAAGTACCCCTCAAGGGTTGACAGCAGCAGTCTGAACCCTTGTGCTTGGTGGGGGTCATGGCCTTCCCCTTTTCCCTGGCTGTGGAGGCCTAAGGCTACCCCGTTCCCTGTCAAAAGCCAAGATGAGATTCACCAGCACAGGGGCCCCAGACCTGCCTGGGGCTGTGCAGCAGCCCAGCTTCCTGGCTTATTTTTCAGGTAGACCCTCGTCCTGCCAGCTGCCCTCCTCATCCCCTCGTCCTGTCCCAGAGGTTATCTGCCTGGCACAGCTCCCCAGGAGTCACCTGCAAGCCCCATGGCCCGGGGGCAGTGACTGGCAGGTGCAGATGGGCTGTTTCCTGTCCTGGATCCCAGCAGGCTGGGTGGGGTGGGGTGGCCCGGAGCAGCCTGATGGCCAAAGGGGTGGATGCAATTGTGGGACGTCCTCTTTACTCCCTTCCTGGCCTCACTGGCTGGGGTAGAAGGGCGGCCGCTAGGAGAGACTGAGAGAAGCAGCTAGGACTGAGGAGTGGGTTTTATTGTCCTTTTCCCCTGTCATCACTCCCCGGATGTGTGGGGCATGGTTCCTTGCCTGGGAAGGCCGAGTTCAGTTCTGTTTGTTATTCTCTGGGAACACGTCACAGCTGCAGCTGGACCCCATGCTCTGCCCCAAGCCCCCAACCCCGCGGGACTCTGGCGGCTTCTGTCCACTCTCAGGGCCCTTAGGGCCTGGCTTGCTCCAGGGTCTTGGGCTACTGGCAGCTCCTCTCCTTGGGCTCCTGGCTGCCAGGCGTTGGTGCCACTTCTTAAAGGCCTGGAACCAGGGAGGGGAGGAAATGCTATTGTTGTGGGCTCTCTCCAGGGTCTGTGCTGTGCCTGCTAGAGCAACCCCTGTGCCCAGCTCCTTTTGTCCCCAGGGCCCCTCCCTCTGCCCCAAGCAGCCAGCCAGTCTTGCCCAGGCCAAATGCACAAGCTCAGAATAGATCTGATGGTGATCTGGGAAGCTGTACTCAGAGCTGAGCAAATGAGGGAGGGGGTGCTCAGGACCTAGGCCCTCCATGGGCTAGTGTGAGCGGTAGCCATACCTCATGCCGCGCCTTCCCAAACTGAGGGACCGGGTGGGCCTGGCCTGAGCTGGGGCCACAAATCAAATCAAGGGCTCCAGCATCCAGCCTGTGTGTTCTGTAATGGAACTGACCCCCTCCCCTGAAAACAAAGGGGCCCTGGGGCTGGCAAGCAGGGAACCCTCAGATCCGCGGTGCGCAGCTGTGGCACAGGCTTCTGGAAGGCTGGCTGGGTGGAGTGCAGGGAAGAGGGTAGTACCTGGGAAAGGACCCAGCCATCTTCCTGCTGCTTTAACTGCTGAGCCACTCGCAGTCGCAGGATCCGCTGCCACCACGTCCGCCAGGCCGATCTCAGGTGCCACTCCCTGAGCTTTGGGGACAGTTGGCAGAGGAGGCCTCTTGCGCTTACGCTCCCCCGCAGTCGCCAGCCCTTCTGCCTTTCTCCCCCCACACCTCTGCGGCACCAGAGTGAAAGGGCTATGGCAAGGAGATGTCATCTGAGTATTAACAATGCAGATTCCTGGGCCTGTCCCCCAAGGTTTTGGAGTCAGTAGGTCCAAGGGCCACACTTTTGAGAGGGGTTAGGGTTGAGTATGAGGTGAAATGGGAGATGGTCAGTATGGAGAGGGGCTGTGCCCACTCACCAGGGTCCTTGCCAGCTGTTCTGCCCCTTGGGCATCCACCCAGTGCTGCCATGCTGCTGCCAGGCACCTGGCCTGCTGGGAACCCCGCAGCCCACGAAGCAGTGCCTTAAGGCACCAGCGCTGCAGGTACTTCCTCCTGATGGCCAAGAGCATCGTGACCCTTCAGGGCCGGAAGGAGGGCAGAGCCATGGGCCTGGGCCTGGTTTTCCAGGATCCTACACGAAAGAGCACTGGCCAGAGAGGGCCCAGCTCTAGCCATGGCTCAGGCAAGCCCCTCGGCCCCTGCCCCCATCCCTCGGACCCCCCAAACTGCACACACAGCTCCTCTCACCCCAGCCTCCTTTTATGGGCCTCGCTTTGGGCTTTGAGGGCTCTGGGCTCAGGGCTGGAGTGTCCTCTTGGTCCCTGGTCCCTCATCCACAGGGGCAGGCCTGGGACCCAGCTACTCTGTCCAGGCCACTGCGGCCAGAGCTGGAAGGCAGGGCAGAGGGAATGTTCTCCGCACCCTGGAAAGGGGAGTTGAGTCAGAAGAGCTTAATGTGGGTCCAAGAAGGCAGCTGCTCTTAGTGCCCGCCTAGGAGTTGAATACAGTGAGGAGCGTGGAGGAAGGTGCTGAGCTCAGCCTTGTGCCCTGCCCCCCATCTCCCCAGGCCTCTAGCTGCTCTGGGCTGCTGCCCAAAGAGAAATCACAGGGGCGGGACGGGAACACAAAGTTTTCTCAGAACACCTGAAACATTTCTAAGAGGGAATGGATGGGGAGAATGGTCAGTACACATAACACCGTGTCCCAAGGAGCTGATTTCCAGGCCCCTGAGGACTGGAGACCACTTCACTCCTGCACTTCAGACACTGTTTGTCCTCCGGAGCAAGGTCTCCTTACTCTGAGCCCAGGCCGTTCCCCTTGGCTTCCTCTGTCCACCCAGGCTGCACTGCAGTGATGGCGCGGGCGGCACCAGCCCTGTGGCCTGTGTCCAGCAGCTGCGGGTCTGAAGGAACAACCAGAAAGGAGCACCTGAACCCCATGGGCTTGGACCTCCTGGGGCCCCACTGGGATTTCTTGGCTGGCAGGACACATCCCTGCTTCTTCCACCCATTCCCCCAGGTGGCCAAAGACATTCCAACAGTGGGGTGGGGCCCTAGTAGTTACCCCTCAGTGCCTGGGAGCACAGCCCTGGGAGGTGGCTGTTTCTCTCCCCACTTAAAACTTGTCAAAGCTGAGTTACTTGTCTGAGGCCTCATACCTCGGAAGTGGTCTGACTCCAGAGTCCGAGCCCCCGGCTAGTACTCTCTACAGAGAGGGGCTCTCCAAAGGGGCTGCTGGGGCATGTGTGCCTGTGGCAGAAAAGAGGGGGCCCTGGAATTAAGCACCCTAGGTGCCATTCCCAGCGTTTAGTTTCTAGAGGCCTCAGATTCTCCATCAGTATATGGGATCCTTGTCTTGAATAGAAATATAAAAGTACTCTGAGAAGCAATTGCCCTGTAGCTTATTTAGAAAGAAGAGACCCTGAGACCCTAGAACCTGCTGTTGCCATAGCCCCATATGTGTGAATTCTGCAACTAGCCAAGGCTAGTTCCTTTCAATTCCATTTAAAAAACAAAAACCGGGAGGCACGGTGGCTCAAGGCGCAGTGGGCCTGCCCAGCGGTTGGGGAGGCCAAGGCAGGCAGATCGCTTGAGCCCAGGAGTTTGAGACAAGCCCTGGCAACACAGTGAGACCCCATTTCTACAAAAAAAATAAAATTAGCCGCGTGTGTTGGCACACGCCTGTAGTCTCAGCTATTCACACGGCTGAGGTGGAAGGATCGTTTGAGCCCCGGAGGTTGAGGCTGCAGTGAGCTGTGACTGCACCACTGCATTCCGGCCTGGGCAACAGAGTGAGACACTGTCTGAAAACAAAAAAACGACGACTGAAAAAAGTCACCTTAGCTTTTTCTCTTAGAACCTTCTCTAAAATGTATTCTTTGTGGCATTCTGAAATAAGATTCCTGATGATGCCTGTTGATCTTAGGGACACTACCTCACCTGCCAGTATCTTTGGGGCTGTGTCCTTCAAGGACATGTCCCCAGACTGCTGTGCAGTGTCATTTTCTGTTTGGTTTTGTGGTGGCTTCTTCCCTCTTGCTAGGCCATCAACCTCTTATCACCATTTGCTGGTGTCAGAACTAACTGCTTCTGGTCTGGAGAGGGACTGACCAATGCCGTTGGGTAGAGAGAATTATGAAAGAAATTTTGGTATTTTTCTACTTTATATTTTCTGACTTTTCTGTAATGAGCATATTTCACTTTTCCAATAAGGAAAAAAAAAAACTTGACCTGGTGCAGTGGCTCACACCTGTAATCCCAGCACTTTGGGAAGTCGAGGTGGGAGGATCACTTGAATTCAGGAGTTCGAGACCAGCTTGGGCAATATGGTGAAACCCCGTCTCTACTAAAAATACAAAAATTAGCCAGGTGTGGTGGCACGCACCCGTAGTCCCAGCTACTCAGGAGGCTGAGGTGGGAGGATCGCTTGAACCTGGGAGGTAGAGGTTGCAGTGAGTTGAGATCACACCTCTGCTTCAGGCTGGGCAATTGAGCCAGACTCTGTCTCAAAAATAAAAAAACAAAAAAAATGCTACTGTTCCGTGTACCTATCCTGATCTTCAGCTGCACCGTGAGAAAGCATGCATTTCAGTGTCTCCCTAACAGGCTGTGACCCAGCACGCTAGTCTTTGTGTCCAGACCTGCAGTGGGCTGGCACTCAAGAGGTGCTGGGTTCATCTTTGCTGATGGATTCAGAGTTGCTTGTCAGAGGCTGACTGAGAACTGGGGAGAGGTGGTGTGTACAAGGCTGCTGGGCCCCTGGGGAGGCATCCAGCCATGCTGCCGCCATAGGTTGGATCAAGCTGATTCTAAGGCCAGTGGTCCGAGGATCATTTTTGGACCTCCCGACCTGCCTAGGCTCCCCTCACCTGCTTCCAAGGGGCTGGGGCGTCCAGCAGCAGGCTCCCCCTGCTGGCCATCCGGGGCCAGAGCGTGAGGTCAGCCTGAGGCTTGGGGCGGACCTTGCCGGCCCCTGGGGCCTTGGCCCGCAGTCCAAGCCACACCCTGAGCTGCGCCATCTGCAGGAAGCGTCTGAGCCCAGCCTGCCGGAGCTGGGTGACGATGGCTCGTTGGACACCGCCGCAAGCCCCTGACTGCGTCGAGGCCTCTAGGACCCTGCGGGAGAGGGAGGAGTCTGCAGCCAGGGCCATCAGGGCCAGGACTCTCCGCAGGGAGCCCTTCCAGTGCCCTGCGAGAGGGGGCCCTCCAGGCCAAGCCCCAGCCACCTCCCACTCCCTCTTCTGGAGGGAGAGTCTGGGTAAACAGGATGGAGGGCGACCTGGAAGGAGAAAATCGCAGACAGGGACAAACATCCTGTTTAGGGGCAGAGAGGGGACAGTCCTGCCAGTGCCACTTTGCTTCCCCTTCCCTGGCATTTATGGCGCTTGCTGAGTGGCTGGCTG